TACTAAGTTGTCTAATTGACAATAAGTTATGCATCAAATCATTGACCAGAAGAACATTAGTAATAGAAGGAAGTTTACCATTACCAACAGTTCCAAAGCCAAGGATTTTACCTTTATGGTTTCCTTTGAAATCGACGAAGCCTCCAGGCTTAAGTTCCAGACTTTGGAAAATATGCCTTCTTCCCGTCATGTGTCGCGAGCAACAACTATCCAGGTACCATGATTGGTGTTTCAACTGAGCTGCTAAGGATATCTGCAACATAGATTATCTTATCCTTAGGTACCCACTTTCTAGGTCCTCTTTTGTTAGTTTTCCCATAGTATTTAATAACCTTGGGTTTATGTGCAACAGGATAATCAAGTGGAATTTGTGCATGATACTTAGGTTTAAAAATATATTTTTGTGTCGGTGAAGGTGCTTTCACAAGCTCAGAACGACCAAGCTTAATACTAGAAGGCACGAAATGATGATAGAGAGGCTTTGGTTTTACAAGTTGACTTTCGTCATTTTTAAATGTTTATGTACACCCCAAATCTTTCTTACAATTTCTGCTAACTCCATAGATCATGGAAGCAACCTTACTTTTATCTATGCTTTTAGCCAGAAAGTGTTGGATGTTCTATCATACTTATTGACACAATTAGTGTTATAGATGTTTGAGACTAATTCTTCTTCTAGTTTAAAAATTTTGCTTTTCAAAGCACAATTACTATTTTTAAAGAAAAAATATTTTCATTCAAAGAAGAATTATTCTGTTCAAGCTTATCTCTGGCTTCGGAAGTAATTACATGACATTTTTTAAGATCCTTGTATTTATTTTGAAGAGTTTGATATCTTTCCATCATTTCTGAAAGACACGACTAATTCACAATGAGAGAGTTTAAATAATACCTCTGTTTCAGAGTCTGAGTCTTATTCTGATAGCATTTTGTCTTCTGGTTCTCAAAGACTTTAGCGTTAATTGTTGTTGCCACTAGTGCAACATTTTCCTGTTCTTCTTCAGAATCAGAGTCGTCCCAAGTTGCCATGAGTTCATTCTTGACTTTGGTGAAGTTCTTATTAGGTTTTTTGTCTTTCTTAAGCTTTGGACAGTCGTTCTTGTAATGACCTAGCTCATTACACTCGTAGCAGATGACTTCTTTTTCAGAACTCTGCTTCTTCTATTCAGATGATGAGTCAGCACAACTTTTGTTTCTTTTTGATCCTATGAACTTTCCTTGCCTATGTTTATAGAGTTTGTTGACCCTTTTGGAGATAAGTGATAGCTCATCTTTTGAGTCTTCATCATAATCTTCTGATTCTTCCTCGGCTTGATAAGTCTTTGCCTTTTCAGGTTTAGACTTAAGAGCAATAGATTTACTCTTCTTCTGAGGTTCATCTTCCTCCAGCTTTATCTCATAACTTTTTAAAGAACTAACAAGTTCTTCAAGAATTATACTATTCAGATCCTTGGATAGTTTAAGAGCAGTTACCATAGGTCTCCATTTCTTGGAAAGGCTTCTGATGATCTTTTTGACATGATCAGCAGTTGAGTATCCTTTGTCCAGAACTTTAAGTCATGCGACAAGCATTTGAAACCTTGAAAACATATTCTCAACTGTTTCATCATCCTCCATTCTGAATGCCTCATATTTCTGGATTAAGGCAAGCGCCTTTGTCTCCTTAACTTGAGCATTTCCTTCATGATTCATTCTTAGAGAATCAAAAATGGATTTGGCAGTATCTCTGTTTGTTATCTTTTCATACTCAGTATAAGTGATAGCATTTAGCAGTATAGTTCTTGTCTTGTGATGATTCTTGTAATCCTTCTTTTGTTGGTTGGTCATAGCACTTCTTAATACTTTTACTCCTTCAGCATCAACTGAGTGAGTATAGCCATCAACTACAAGATCTAAAAGATCTACATTGTAACCAATAAATAAACTTTCAATTCTATCTTTCAAGTAGTCAAACTTTTCACCATCAAAGACTGGTGGTTTGACACTATAGTGATCTTTCTCATCTGGAATAGGATTATCATTATAGCAGCAGCCATGATAACTCACACAAATACTGGATCGGTACTGAACACGGTGAAGTGTTGATAAAACTTTTTATCACAATCAGAATTAGAGCTCTGATGCCAATTGAAGGTGTGAGAAAACACAAGAAAGAGGTGGTTTGAATTGGGTTTTCAAAAATGAAAGCTTTTTGTGAAATTCAAACAAAAATCACAAATAAACTAACAAGAGAGAAAGACACACGATGTATTCTGGTTCACTTGAAAATTATCAAGTTAATCCAATCCACCCGCCAAGGTGATTTCGCCTTATACACAAGGACTTAATCCATTATAATCAACTGATTATATTGCACTAACAACTGCTGGTGACTAACAACATAAACTAACTGTCTCTTCTTAATGATTCTGACCCAACTGGTCCCTTAAAAATCACAATCCGCATTAGCAACCGTTGGTGACTAACAACAAAGACTAACTGTCTTTTCTTAAGGATTCTGACTTAACTGGCCCCTTAAGGAATTACAAACAACTGTTTGAACAAAAATGTTTACAATGAATTGCTTCTACACAAGCAGATATATAAACACTATTAATAACTCAAATGACTTAAAGAAACTTTCATAGTATGAACAATGTTCTTTCTTTGTATTGTGGTGCTTCAATACTGGTGCTTCAGTTCTTCATAGATCGTTCAATTCTTGTAATTCATTCTTCTTTAATGATCGTTTTGAATCGTTTTCAATCGATATGAATGTTTGTGAATAGTTTGTTTTTTTCTTTCAAGTCATCAAGTCCTTATATAGTCAGAAAAAGATCAGTTGGAGGGCAGATCAAAAATATCCTTTTAGATAGCTGGCAACTTGAAATAATGTTGTTATGCATGGATGAAAATCGTACACAAAAGTTGTCCTTTGTACCACCAAATCAGGTAGTGGAATGGTAGTGGAATGGAACGTTGAAGCGTACTATGTACTATTTTCCCTCGTAAACTTTTGATCTTATCTTCTGTACACCAGAGGCTTCTGAATAGAGATGATATAAATAGAAGAGTTGATCATTGGATATTCAGAGTCTTGAGTCTTCAGAACTTGTTCACCAAACCTTGTCTTCAGAGTCTTAAGCACTCAGTCTTTAGAACCATTGGTCTTTAGTAACTTAAGTCTTCAGAGTCTTCATAATGTCGTTCAGCAGAACTTGTCTTCAGAGTCTTCAGCACTTAATCTTCAGAAACTCAAGTCTTTAGAGTCTTCAAAACTTTGTTCATCAGAACCTTGTCTTCAGAGTCTTCAGCACTTAGTCTTTAGAAGATAATGACTTCAGAAGTTAAAAAACCTTCAGAAGTAAAACATCAGAGTCACGCTCAGAACCAGAATTCAAGAGAGCATTGTAGCAGCAACATGTTGTCTTCTTAAAAAAAAAATTAATGTGAGTAGATCAGAAGCAGACTTGCTTCTTATGACGCAGAAGCGATTTTGGTCAGATCAGAGTGACGTTGCACATAGTCTCTATCAGAGTCAGAGCTTTCTCTATTAGAGTTAGAACTTGTTTGTTAATTCTTCAGAAAAACAAACGTTAGAGTACCAAAATTGTTTTCACATAAATACTATTTTTTTATTATCAAAACTTAGAGATATCTGAGAGAGCCAAATCTTGTTCTAACATATCTAACGATTTTTACCCCTAAAACTATATTCTAACTTGTTTACGAAAAATACTCGAAAATATCTCAGAAACTCGAAAACTCAAAAACTTACTGATTACATCAAGATGAATGCTCCTTGTCGAACTTGATTGAAAACAATTAAGTTTGGTGATTTTTTTTTTGTTAAGGATTGAGAGTTTGGAGAGTTTGAGAGTGAGAAGTTGAAAAATAAAGAATGAGCGAGAAGAAGAGACTTTAACGCGAGTGTATTCTAATTAGTTCCAGAATTATAAAAACTGAAACATCTAAATGTAACTCTAAAAAAAACCAACGTTAAATAAAAAAACATATACGTCCGAAGATACATCTCGTATTTTTAAAAGCGTGATGCCTAAAAACCCCAAAGGATGGGGGAAATTCTCAAAATCTATTCTAATTAAAGAAAATTGCTTCTCCCACCTTAAATCATAGAGATGCCCCTATCAAAATCCAAAAATGTCATTGAAATGCATTTTCAGATCACTCTTAATTAACTCACTCTTTTAATTATCTCGGATCACTCTTAATTAACTCACTCTTTTAATTATCGGGAATTAAAAATATGTTGTTTTAAAAGGCTCAATCATTTTTTTTTCCAAAATTTAAAATTTAAAAGTTGTCGAATTCTTGAATAAATATATAAAATGTTAAACTTTTTTATTCCAAGACTAATATGTAGTATTATAAACTTCCGTGTATGTTAACACTGCAACAACAATGAACTGATATTTGTCATGGAAGGCTGTTCCTAAAGAATGCATACGTTATATAATAATCGTAACTATCTCTATTACTATTACTAGCGTATCTGAAAAATGTTTTCTAAATTAAAATCTCTGAAAACTCATTTACAATCTCCTATATCACATAGTAAATTAAATAGCCTTATTATAATTTCAATAGGAAAAAAAAATATGATTTGCCCAATATGATGTGAACCCCATAACTTCTATTTTTTTAACAAAATCTTTAAACCCATAAATGGTAAATAATTACAGTTCTAAATAAAAATAAAATAAAATAGAAACTAGATGTTGCAATATGCAAGAACATGAACCTGAGAAACATCAGTAGAAGTTAATTACAGCCTAAAGCTATATGACTAGTCATGTTATTGGGGGTTTTATGTATCAAAAATCACAATCACGATTCAAAGAAACCATTACAAATTTTTAGGAAATATCAAAAGTTTATTTGAATATAACTATCTCAACAAAGCATATAGATTGTACATAAACCTGGATCAGGAATCATTAGTGACTTAACTAATGATTTTCAGCTACAACATTTTACAACAAGCCGCTGAGCATAACAAACTATGGGGCGGATTCTCCTTCCCGTGTGATCAATTCCTATAATATCATAGAATCACGTGGTTATACTCAGAAAAACCTCAGCCATCCATTTCAAAGCATGCAGTACAGAATGAATACAAAATTCAATTTACCAATCTTGTAGCAGCACATGTGGAGTGCTGTCTTTCCTGTTTCATTCGATTGCATTCACCGCACCAGCTGGAGAAATCTTTTTGATACAGTTTCATCTCTCTAAAGACAGAACTGCAATTACATAATGCAGATTTTATCATTAACTTGCCAATGAAGGACTGATACAAGAACATTGGACAAACTGAAGTAGCAATGAAGGTAACCAACAGATGAAATTACCTTCTGCACCACATCAGGAAGTTGATCCGATGGCCAGATGTTGTTGCTCTAGCACCATGACGATGTCGACCACGATGGAGCACAGCCCGTCCCGGGACATGATTATAATCAAAGACTTCCTGCTTTCAAATAATGGACTCCATAAATAAAGTGTACAACCACCTATGAGAAATAGCAAGAAGCAATGGTCCATAAATATTCTTACAATAGTAAATAGACAACACTATATAACTCCTCCGGAACAGAACATGATTCCTGAATGATTAATTCCATCATTCCGATGTGTTTTTACTTTCAAAACTAACATATGCAAGGTACAATGAAAAACAGATATGCAAATACGGTCCTTCTTGTAAACACATTTGAGGAGCATTGTTTTATCATTACAAGATGTTGTTATAAGGGCTCGGATTTTTAATCATGCCAAGCACAAATACAGTTCCAAATTTTATAATTAGACTACCTTTTTTTATGTATGTATTACTTTTTCCTATGGTAGTTAATGGTTCCAAATTGCTCTTTATCCCATCCCCGTGACTTACCTCTGGCTGACTTCCTGTATTTACATGTTTCTCACATCTTGAGCCTCGAAAAAACAACTCCCCTCCAGAAAATTCCTTACCCAAGCAAACATTCAAGGTTACTTCCGAATCATCCACATGGAAACCTACAGATGAAAGACTTTAAATTGTAAGACATCATTCACATTAACATCAGTAATGCAGGTGTATATTAACCAGTATATGAATCCAACATCATCAGAATAACGACCACTGATGATAAAACAAACATCCATGGGCTCGATCCAAGCTTAGTTTGAGTTTGAAAGTTCAAAAGAAACATTTTTTTTAAGTTGTTACAATTCTTATTAAACAAAAAACTTCATAGAAATAACAATGCAATGTTGTATAGTTCACGTATTAAAAAATTAGCCCTCTAGCCCTCTTCTGTACACGTCCAGTATAGTGCATACAGTATATGGAAATTGTCAGGAAAGCTCGTCAAGTAGAAATCTCACCTAAGTCAACATCTTTATCTTTACCATACTCTACAACAAATCCATGATGTGAATCCAGGGTTGATCCTCCAACTTCTGGAAAGAAGACTGAATAATAAACAATAATCAATAAACAGAACAAACCTTCAAAAAGAAAAAAAGCCGCCTAAAATCATTTTGATAGAATAAATATGATTGATCATATATCGCCATGAGATAATGTTAATTAAGCAGTCAACAATCACCTCTAGATAAAGGACGAATAAAATCATCCATAAGCTTGTCAAGCATCGGCTCAAGCCCAAAGTCATCAAGCACGGCACCAAATTTATTCATTCTATTCGGACGCATGATCCGGAAATTTGCTTCAGTCACCCATTTCTCAAAATGTTCAATCTAGATAAACCAAAAGTAATTTTAGCATATACAAAACATCAAATATATACACAAGCATTCACTTGCAACTAAGGACTCAGAAGATGAGTTAGTTATTGCTTATACCAGGGACAAAGATAGTTAAAACGATAAAGTACCTCAGATAGCAACAACTCACAGAAGTCTGGCTGAAACATTTGAAATACAAGAATGTCTGGAGAGGGCTCAGATATTATGCTTCTAAAGCTTTGCTCTGTATTATCACTAATTGCTTTGAGAAATGTCGGCACAAAGAATATAGTAGGATTCATAGTGTACAACTCGGGATGTAAAGGCTACAAAATTAGTAAGAAAACTTGTGAGTCTTGGTAAAAATACCGCCACGAATGACAGCAGCATCTCAAATGAAGAAAATAATTTTTTAGCACTAATTTGAATGTATCTCCAAAAGTAACAATTTTAGCACTAATTTGAATGTATTATCACTAATTGCTTTGAGAAATGTCGGCACAAAGAATATAGTAGGATTCATAGTGTACAACTCGGGATGTAAAGGCTACAAAATTAGTAACAAAACTTGTGAGTCTTGGTAAAAATACCACCACGAATGACAGCAGCATCACAAATGAAGAAAATAATTATTTTAGCACTAATTTGAATGTATCTCCAAAAGTAACAATCAACATATTTCTAGATATTCTTCAAACTGCGGATTCCCAACTTTGTCTCAATGAAGGAGTGGTGCGTACAACAGGACTTTAAAGGAGGGATCTACCCCATGTAATTCTGACAAGGGCATTTATTAGAATGCTTTCTTGCATATATTTCTCTGTTTTCCTCTTTTATAAAAATCCTCTTCTTTGAAGAGAATGCATATTACCCGATGGCAAGGATACAGGGAAATAGAACTGTTAACAGCATATTGTGGTTAGAAACATGATAGTTGATGAAGGTTTATAGTTTGGTTGCAGGATTATGCATTATGTGCATTCAACATTTGGCTGTATATTAAATGCCAAAAACTTCAGGTAGTAGGATTCATTATTAGGTTTCCCTACCTTTTTATGTAAGAGTTTAATAAAAATAATAATAAATAATAATAATAATAATAATAATTCTTTCTCTCATTCCTCACTGTCTTGCAAACATTTTCTACCAGGTCCAACATTAATGTCAAGCTAATAAAGTACTAAAACGTGCATTCTTTACCAGGGTAGTCAATAACGGCCAACAGCAGCGCTATAGCAAGATAGCGGAGCAGAGGCCGACCGCTATTGGAAGAGCCTTAGCAGTGTGGCACACAATGGCGGCCGCTATAGGGTAAATGGTGGGATAGTGGTGCGGAGCAGTTCCCGGCCTAGAGCGGTTTCTGACCCACTGTCCATTTTCCCTCTGAAAAACCAAAATTATGCCTTAATATTGAGTACTTAAGTTTGAATTTTGAGATGTAATGTTTAGATTAAGACTTGTTGATGTTGATTAAGAGTTTTGATTAAAACTTGTTGGCTTCTGAGTGTTTTTTATTAAGTTTTCTGCTTTGATTTATGAATATCTTATGGGTTTTGAGCTATTTGTTTAATTTTACATTCAATATATGTTCATAATTATTATATGTAATTTGTCCAAAAAATGATTAAATAGTGGTCATCACGCTATCCCACTTTTGGGGTCGGCCGCTCCACGCCGCTATCTAGGATGGACTACTCTGGTCTTCACTCTTTCTTGAGCTTTTTAAACTACTGAATTGGCTCTAGCCCATTGTACAATCATCATACAACATTAAGTCAACTTTCTTTTTGAATCGGTAAAAGTATTATCAGTTACATAAATGCCTCCTTACTGTGACCTTCTGTTTGCCTGCATTGCTAAGCCCTTTCTCACTCGTTGATATCATTTTCTCTTTTTAGATATATATTTTCTTATAGCACTTAATGTTGTCTTCCCAACATCTCTTCAACCTAGAGTTGTAATGCAGGCAAACAGAAGCAGCCAGAGTAAAAAAATTTGATATTTGGTTACTAGTTACATACCTGATAATACGATTTTATCTTCTGTCTGTATTCTTTATGCTTCTGAGTCTGCCAAATAGCATTGGAAACATCAATAAATCATAGTATAATATTCAAAACAATAAAAGTGAGATAATTATATTAACATCATTGATAATGATGATAGTAATGGAAGATTTCTCAAAGGTACTTCAACCTCTGCCCAATCATATTTAATTGGTCTAAAAGGTTTAGAGAGTCATCCACCCATATCTTACAGCGTACATAATTGTGGGGTTATTTTAGGAAGTGATATAAAAAAGTGGTATCAATAGTGAGATATAATTGGACAATTACTATGTAAAATGTTTAAATTGTGTATTTTAATTAAACTGACAAATATAACGGAATAATTTTGATGCACATGTCAATGTAAACCTTCTAAAATGTCAACCAATAATCATAAACCATCCTTTGTATGACAAAGTAGATAGGATTAATGTCAACTAATTTTAACAATCTAACAGTTAAGGTTGATTGACTGTAAAAAAAAAAAAATCTTTACATTGTCGGTGCATAATACATATCAATTAAATACTAAATATAATAACAAAAACATGGTAATTATATATGAGAATGTAAAATTAATAAATGTAAAGTATAGGAGAGTTCCTAGTACTATTATTCAAAATATACAAATTTTAAAGAAAAATTGATTGGGGGATCAACCTGTTTCAAGTTGAGAAAAATATATAAACTTGAGAGCCAGACTGATTGTAATTGGTTTGTTTTTCTTATGAAATGAAGTGAGGTGATAATCCAAACCAATTTAGCATTTATGTGGACGTGGTTGCTGTTGTTATTCTATTTATCGCGTCCCAAAAAAATGGGAGTGTTGAACAAAACGCACGTCAACACCCAATAACATTTTCACCAAAACTCTGAAGCAACTAATGGGATTGCTGAACAAAATGCACGTCGACGCCCAATACTATTTTCCCCGTAACTTTGTGAAGCAACTAATGGGAGTGTTGAACAAAATGCACAATGGGAGTGTTGAACAAAATGCACGTCAACACCCAACAGCATTTTCACTATAACTCTGTGAAGCAACAAACGTGAGTGTTGAATGAAACACACATCAACACACAATAACATTTTCAATGTAACCTTGCAAAGAAACTACTGCGAGTGTGAACGAAAAGCACCTCAACACCTAATAACATTTTCATCGAGTAACATTTTACCCCGTAACTTTGAGAAGCAAAAAATGTGGGTGTTGAAGGAAAGACTCGTAAACACCCAATAACATTTTCGCCATAACTTTGCAAAGCAAAAAATGGGAATGTTGAACGACACACAAAACCATACACAAGTCAAAACCGCAAATTACATAAAAGCCAAACATGTGCTTAATCGATGTGGATTATTGAGTTCATTAAGTCAGATACACTATTAACCCTCCACGACACAACACAAAACAACAATTTCCATTCCACTCAACTCTTTTATCATCTTATGCCACCCATCCAAACTACATTGAAATCAAATAACCAACTCAATAACCTAAAAAGTTAACAACAATCTTCCACTTGTACAATAAAGACACACAAGTAATCAAATCCATCCCCAAAATTAAACTTTAAAAAAATATACTTTCAACTATTTATGTACTTAAAACAAAAGCACTTTAGATAAATCACACACACAAATAAAAAAGCTTAGAGGAAACAATGATTGTGAAAATTGAAAACATACTCTATTACGCTCTCCAGTTGGAAGATACTTAAGCAAAATCTCAGTCATGAACTTAGCCTTATCATCACGAGAAATAACGAGCATGTTCGGAGGAAGGTGTCTCTCTAACGAACTGAAAATCGAAGGACTGAAATCCAATTCCAGATCAGCGTAAGCTTCTGGTTTGTGCTCCTTGTTCGGATTCAACCTCAGTCTCTGCCTCGAATTCGCCAAAGTGGAAACTGTGCCGTTTCCGATTAGCTCACTTTTCGCCGCCGACGCGTTGGAGTTGCCACCGCGGTGTGACATTTTCGGAATCACGGATTGGAAGAAGTGATTTAAGTAAATTTCATGAAATTGAGGATGAAATTGAGGGAAATTTAAAGGGAATTTAGGGTTATTTGGGTGAAAATGAAAATAGAGTAGTGGAGTAGAAAATGTTAGGGTTTTGCTTTCACATGAAAAATAACACTAGAAGGTTCTAAAAACTTAATATAAACCCAAGTTTTTCGTGACGGTAACTTTTCTTTAAAGCAAGGAATTGATTATTTATTATAAGAGTAGTGATTCTCTAACCCATGTTTCCGAATTGAACCGGTTGGATTGATAATTAGAGATGAATTCAATTTAGTTAATTTTTTAAAATTATTAGTATGTCAAAATTGAAGTAAAATTGAAAAAATGAAATTAAACCATCTAAAATTATTCGAATTGTAAAACCGTTCATTTCAATAAAATACATTAAATTGACCATTTTACACAAGTAATAATATGTCAATACTAAAACATATCATACATTCTCCAATCACAAAAAAGAATTTCATTTTTTTTTATAATCATACAAATTTATAAGTTTTGTCACTCCGTTTACTTTCAACTACACTCCATCATTATCACACCGTCTCTTTCAAATATAGTCACGATGTCCAACTCAATATTGATTGGCGTTAAGTTCAATATTATTTGTTATTGTCAATTAAGATTTGTTTGTCTTAGTTCAACTCAAATTCTTTTTTTTATTTAATGAAGTACGTTGTATTATTTATTTTTAATATTATCTTTTATTTTATTTATGTATTTTTAATTATTTGAACTTTATTTTAGTTATTATATTTAATTATTTTAATTTTGTTTGAATTAGATTAACTTATTTTATTGTAATTTATTAATTTGGTCAAATCATTCTTAAATAATTGTTGACATGAAGTGTAGAATCATGTTATGTTGTTATATATACTATCGATATTGTTGTATTAAATTTATAATAAATTTTTAAAATATTTATTTTATTAAATTATGAACATATGATTATGTGTGACATATCTATGAATTTTAGTTTCATATTATTAGCTTATTTAATAAACGATCCGACCATAGGTTTAATCGGTTGAACCAATTAAACCTTAAACCATAAATTTTATCAGTTCGATTTTCGGTCCAGATATAAAAGTTAGACGAAAAGCCAAAAAATAAAAAGAAATTAAAAAATAATCGAAACTTAAATAAGAAAATGCAAATTACTTTTGCAAAAATCATAAAAGTTACGATTAGAGTTACCAATATCTTCTATGTGAGACCATCTCCAAATAAAAATTTTTGATATTCCAAATAAGGTCGGATACCCTAATTTTACAAATTTCTATATTTAAATTTTATACATATATATAAATTGTATACATACATATTCGTGATCAGCATGAAAAACCAGTTCAAATGATATATGAATTTGTAATTTATTGTAACGGAGATTTTTAAAAAGGTCAACGACGTAAACATTACTTAACATAAAAGAGCAAAGCGTTACAAAAAAAAACTTAAATGACTAACTTAATATTTTAAAATAACATAAAGGACTAAAACAGTATTTTTCTCTAAAAAGTATTTTTTATATGATTTTTGGTAAAGGTTTGTGGTTTGATTTTTTTTTTAGTTACTTTTATAATGTAATATATTTTGGTGTATTATGTTTGGACATGAGTTATGTATAATATTAACTAAAATTTCATAATCATCTATCGCCTAACAAGTTATGTATAAATATAAAAAATGTATCATTTATTCAAATTTTTTCTTCTATGATCTTTTAGATAAACAGTGTAATTAGTATTTGTGTATACTTTTTTTTGTTAGTATGTTTCTGGTTCACGGTTTTATAAATATATTTTATATTTGACTGGGATCAGAAAATTAATCAGTGGTTAGCAACACGGCGTAAGCTTCAAGTTCGTCGATGTTGGAGAAGAAGAAGGGGGTGTATCTGCATGTAGGGATGTTAATTTGCATATGTTGGCGGGGAACCCAGCGGAGATTGCCCCATTCGGGGCTCCAAAGATGGAGAATTTCCCCCCGCGGAGGCGGGGATGGGGAGAAAAATTCCCCCGAGAGCACTTCGGGGACGGGGACGAAGAATACTTCCCCCGCCCCACGAGGCCCCCACCCCACCTATTTATTTTAATATTTTACAATTATGTCTCATGAGTTTATACTTAAGTATATACTTTCAAGTATACTTATTATGAAGTATTTTTTTCAACTTTTCAAGCATACTCATGATGCTGAATTTTACAATTATCTCTTGTTAGCTTTAATGAAGTATAGTTTTTAAACATATTTATGTTGTTGAATTTTGTAGTTGTTTAGGCATATTATTACTTAAAAAAGTATTACAATTTATGTTATTGAATTTTATAGCATTTTATAGAATTTTGTAAAAAAAATATTATTATTTTGTATCTCGCTAGTAATTTTAATAAAAAATAATAAATGTGAAATACTAGTATTTTTTAATAAAAAATAATAAATGTGAAATACTCGTTCTTTTTTATTTTTATGGAAAATATAGACATTTAAAAAAAGTTAATGGATAAATGTAGGATTCGCGGGGAACGGAGACAGGGATAGAAACTCCACCGTGATGGGGATCGGGGACGGGGAATGAATTTAGTGGTGGGGACAAAGATGGGGAAGTAACCCTCGCCCCTGCCCCGCCCCATTGACATCCCTACCTGCAAGACACTCTGATGTCAAAGTGAGGTTCTGAGTGAAAAGAGAGAGTAAGTACATAATGAGTTTAAAATACCTAACCCTCTTGTGGAGGAGAGTATTTATAATGTGCCTCTAGCGTTGGGTCAACGGTCATCTATTGTAGGCTGGATCGTAAGGCCCACAACGGATGACTGTCAGGATCCTACGTGGAAGTAAGGAAGACCAGCACGTGGTCTTAATCCTAGGACAACTGCCCACGAACTCCAAAAAGTGGATGACTTGTTCTCGAGGATGTGGGTTCAGTTGGTGACGTGTTCCCACGTGTGGAGCATGTGTGGAGAATATGGACTCCAACGGCTATGGAGGATTAGGCTTGTGTTGGGCCCTTCTCGACGTGAAATTAGACTAGGTTGTGCCCGCCAGTGGGCTAGCCCCAGGCCCAGTCCAGAACAGGAGACCTCCAAGTCGTTGCTCCCAGTCAAAGGAGTAATGACTTAGAGTCAGCTTGCATGTCGAATAAAAATGAAGGAAGTTTGCCCATAGGGGGTGTCATTCGGGTTCAAGGTGGTGAACGTGAAGCTATGCCAATGGGGGGAACGTGGAAGTTATTCATCATGGCCGACAGCGTAGATATGCAAAAAAAAATCCCTGAGATATTGCCTGCAAGGTTTGCGTGTGCTTAATGGCAAGGTCCAATTTTGCGTTTATCTCGAGGCTATGTCCTCGCGCGGGGGGGGGGGGGGGGGGGGGGATAAAGTCGTTATCTGCGCTCCTACAAGTTACTAGGTTATACTCGCGATATAGCGTAAGAGTCGAGTATTACGGGCAAGACTTGGAACGACGAACTCTGAGATAAGTGAGGGATGAGGAAAGAACGGACATGTCATTTCCTCGAGCCGTGTGTTGGGGCTTGAAAAGACAAGTGTGATGTCTTTTGAGTCACGTGTTAAAAATAATAAATGCGCCTAACGACATACGAGTAGAGATACTAGAGGTTATAGGCGATGATTCATTTTGCGTGCTAGTGGATATAAATATGAGGAGATGGGATTCATTTATTATGCTCACAGTACTCAAGCTCTTCAAGAATTCCTCAAGTTTTTCTGCTATCTTACCCTTCGCTCGTCATCGTCGCCACCGTCAACCATCTTTCATTCACCGTAGATTCCCAGTGTCTTCTTCATCCAAGTAAGCAATTAATTACTTTCTCCATTTGTATGATAGCTCAGTCTTAATTTGTAATTTTAGGAATGCATGTTCTCTGACGCTCATGAACTTCGCGATAAAGTTATGTGTTTTTTTGGCAATTGCTATGAATTCTTCGGTTGCTTTCTTGGACTTTCGATGAACTTCATGAGGTTCCGATGAAGTTTTTGGGAAGCTCATGAAGTGTCTGACGATGCTTCCGTGGAAACTCATGAAGTTTCCGGTGAACTCATGAAGCTTCCAATGAAGATTTTGGGGAACTCATGAAGTTTTCGATGAAGCTTCTGGGAAACTCATGAAGTTTCCGATAAAGCTCATGAGGCTTTTGCGTCTTTGTTAGGTTTAACATCGGGGAGACTTCCTCCCCGCAGGGGTGTAGAAACTCTGAAAGAGTCTCGCATCGAGGAGGCTTCTTCGCTTTGAAGGTTCTGATAAGGAGTTTTCATGTCGAGGAGTCCCTTCCCCGCGGAGTATGCTTCATGTCTACGCGCTTATCGACAAGGGATTTGGTCGAGGATGTATCCTTGAGTTTTTCCTCGCCCTTTTATTTGATTTACGGTGGAAGGGTGGATTTAATCTCAACGTCGAATTCACTGTTTTCCTTTTCTTTTCCAAGTTAAATGGCCCAAAAGCCCGAGGACAATGTTACGTTAAATGCGCATGCCGAAGTCAACTTGGTCGACATAAATGTCGAAGCCAACTTGGCCGACTTAGATACTAAACCATAGTTAGATTGGGTCAAGCAGGAACCTCGAGACATTGCTTCACGTTTTATTTTTGATAACTTGGATGCCTTCACGACCATCGAGGACCTAACGGAAGGGGCCCCTATGAACTAAGAGATCTACAAGCCCAAGGAAACAGATCGAATATGCTGGAATACGAGGGGACGCGCTTCCTTATGTACGAGTTCTTCTTCCAGGAGGCAGGACCTCGTCTGCCCTTTAGTGACTCTCAGATGGGGGTATTCCAATGGTTGAAGTTTGCACCCTCTCAGCTCCACTCGAACGCGATTGCGTTCGTGCGGGAGTTTGAGCTCGTGTATCAGCACCTTTGTATCGTTGCTACATTCCCACTGTTCTTTCGACTTTTCCATCTTCAGCGGAAGTCTTCACACG